ACTGTGAAACAATAAATTTCTGCTGTTTTAAGCCACCTAGTTTGGGGAACCCAAACAGCAGCCTTAACAAACTAACAAAACAGAGAATAAAAACATACATAGTCCAAGTATAACAAAAAAAGGAAGCATGAACAATACAACCACATAGCAGCTCATTCTAGCCACAATCCCATCCAAAAGGAGGGTCAACATAAACAAAAAAGTAGTATTTACTCACGCTGCCATCCACTTTACCTTTAGGTATACGAGAAGTTTAAATATTTGAAAGTTAAAACAATTTTTTGATAAATGATAAACCACACTGAAATTCCCAAAGCATTGACTGGTTTAATCAGGGAACATCAGAGCAGAGTGCCCCGAAATTCATTTTTCTAGCAGAGTTTTGCCTCATAACGGAATAGGCTGATGAATCACAGCACACAGCTCCTGTGTTCCTATCACTTAGGGGACGAATAAAGAGCTGCCTTAAAATAGGTCATCTACATCAAGTATGCAGTGATGGGTTTCTCAGTTGATCGCAATAGGTCCTAGTGATGAATGAGTTTACCTTTTTCTTATGTTTAGAAATGTACAAAGTCATACATATTAAAGTATAAATTAGCGTTTTAAGCCAAAAGTCCTGAAATTTATGTGTTTATATATCCTTGCTTTTTTTTTTCCATTTTAATTAGAAGACTATCACATGGGAAAAACTTCATAGGAAATTATATATTATTCACAGAGAATGGCATATATAAATCTGTGGCTTAGGGGCATTCTGTAAAAATCAATACTTGGGAAAAACATGTGAAAATCAGTTCCAGGGAGCGTATATGAAAAAGTACACACTAAAACGTTATAGTATTTAAAAAGTCTTGTATTAATGTTTTGGATCCGATTTTTGCATTGACTTCCATTGTAATACTGGGTATTATTATTATTGAAACATGACGTGGGCAAACTGGGATTTCTCTCTGGCACTGAGTCTTTCCCAGCTGTTGAGTATAGTAAGACTAAAAAAGGCTAGAAGGTTAAAGGAAAACGGAAGAATGAAGATTATTGTAGCAGCAGCGACAGAGCATTGGTGGCACCACTCATGAAGAACATTTCAATTACACATTCTGCTCCAAGCAGACAGATGGAGGCAGGAAGAAACTGACGCTGGTGCAGCCTGAGCTCCATGCAAGCACTGCATGATGGCCCCTATGTATAGGAGGTCTCCCTCAATCCTCCAGTCAATCCTGTGAGCTAGGTAATTTTGTCACTTTACAGATATGTGGAGCTCAGAGAGGTGAAGTATGTTGCCCAAGAGCACACAGCAGCCAATGGGAAGCCAGAATCATGTCCTGCGGGAGACTGACCACAAAGCCCCTGTTCCTCCCAGGACACATGGACACCAGAGCGCCAACCCACTTAGCACTCGCTCTTCCCAACTGACCAGGAGACTCCATGGGGGTTTCCTTGCCAAATGTTACTCTATATTCAAGGTGACGACTCCAAAAATATTTAGCTACTGAACATATACCATAACAATGAAAAATCCTGCCTCTATGAATCGCACTTAACACACACCGAATGCATCACCTGCATTTTAGATGGCGCTGCATCCACACCCTACGCGAGGGATGCAGTTGTGCCGAGTTCTCCTTTTATGTTTGTTTGGAGTAACAGATAAAAGACTTAGCTAATTTAATTGTAGACTTAGGGCCACCATTTGTCCTTACAACTCATGGCACAGCAAGTCAGGGCAGGGGGTTCCTAGGAGCTAATTCCAAAGAGAGTGGCTCTGCCTTCCCCAGAGACGCTGCTTCCCTTCCAGAGCGTCGTGGCTCTGGGTCCACACGTTTACTCTGCACCTCTCAGGGGGCGGGGGCAGTGGGAGAGAGGACAGCAGGTGAAGCGACCAGAGGCACAGTGGGTTACTTTAGGGAGGGTTTGCTAGGCCTCGCTCTGCACCCCTGGCTATGAGCGGTGTGAGGTCAGGGCCCATCTTTTCATCAATTCTACGTGCCTGTTCATATAGAGAGGAGAGAGAGCATCTCTCAGAGAAGTTGCAGGACACGAATTCACCAGCGGCACAACGGCCACAAGTGGGGTTCTGGGGCCCAGCCCACCTTTTCGTAGTTGGAGAACCCCCCCATGACGGCAGGGTCCACGATGCCGCTGAGCAGCATGGACAGCGGGTGCACGGACAGCGACCGGTCCCAGGCGTGCTGCTGCACGCAGTTGCTGATCCTCTCGTTGGTGAGCTCCATGGTCTCGATGGCGTTCTCCAGAGGGCTGACCTCCTCCTGCGTGGCAGAGCACATGGGGGACGAGGACGTTTTGCCAGCTCCAAGCAAAGAAAGAAGAAAAGTTCAACCAGTCCCCTCTAGAGTCGTGACACACCCGTAAGTTACACAAGAGGGAAGTGTCGCTGCTCAAGGTCATGCTTATTAGGATTCCACAGACAGGGTGGTGAGATGCAAAATAAGCTACTTAAAATCTCCTTCGGAAGCAGAATGAGGACTTCGAAATTGGAGCTATGGGAAGGAATATTCCTCGGGGCAGAGTGGCTACAGAAAACCTGAGTAAAAAAACACTGGAGCTGTGGTTAGGATTAGTTCTTAGACAAAGCTTCCTCGGTGATTTGTGAGGTCAGTGACAGCAGAATATCAGATATCAGATCTGAGACATTTCTGCACAGCCAAGAATGTCCACGGGCAGAACGTCTGATACGTCCTCATGAGAAAAGGCAAGTGATGCCGGAAGCCAAGGATTCGGACCACACGTAAATAACCTTGGCACGGATCCTGTGGTTAACACAGGTCAGAAATAACGGGAGGTATTAGACGGTTCTGGCTGAATTTTGGATGACAATGAAGTAAGACACTGCACAGATTTAGAGAGAGCTCTTCCTACGAAATGCCTTCAAAACCAGCTTTTGAGAAGAACCATCTCCTCTTCGTTTTACCCATCACCAGCGAGCTGACCTCCTACTCCAGACTGACTCCGAGTCTCTGTCCAAAAATCACATCTATGCTTGAAGAATAATGATTTATGACCCATCAGACTTCAGTTCAGATTTGTTCCAGAAATAGTTCTCGGACACCTGCCTTATGCTAAGTACCAGGCCACACGCCATAGTTAAAAAAGTGATTACGATGCGCTTCACAGCTGGGAGGAGCTTGTGGTTTTAGGGGGGTCAAGACATGTAAACATGGTAGGTCAGAAACATGCCCAGGGTGCGACACACAGGCACAAGCCCTCTAACGCAGCCTGGGTGTTCCAGAGACGGCTTCATGGAGAAGGTAGTGGCTAAACTGAATCTCACAGGAGCTAGGTGAGGTTCAAGAGTGGCAAGTGGACATTTTACACAGAGAACATGATCCAAAGGTCATGGAGGACTGAAACAGCATGGAACAAGCAGTTTTGCTCCAAGAGATTCCTTAGGAGATGCGGGAAGAGTCGGGTCACTAAGGCTTTATGTGCATGTGCTAAGGAGCATGGGCTTCATACTCCAGCCCCGGGCAGCCCACGGAGGGCTCTAAGCATGAGAATGAATGAAATGGTCGGGTTTACTCAACGGGATTTGCACAGAGGCGGTTAGGAAAGCGGACCAAGGCAGGGAGGCCAATTAGAAGGTTAGAAATAAAACAGATTTAATAAATATTGAAAAGGTAAAACAAGCAACTTCTGGCAAAGATGAAGAGGGAGGAGTCTGGGGTGATCGGTGATGTGATGAGCTGAGAATAAAAGAAGAGAAAGGGCTCTGGGAGAGAAGACAGAACTGGCAGGAAGCTCCGAAGAGGCATTCCAAACATGCCTCTGCGGCTGGCGGGATCAGGGAGGAGACAACACTCCTCCGGGCACAAAAGAGTCATTCACTGTGAGTAACCTTTAGGGTTGGTGTTGTAACATCAGTTTTACAAAGGAGCTCTATAATACAAGCATGCCTTTTATTTCTCTTTTGAAAAACAAAGTTGGCCAGAGGAGGCTGGCCACGCTGGTGCAAACTGCGGAGGGCACCGAACAAAGGCTGTGATTATATTTGGAGACTAAGTTTTTTTCTCAGTTCCAATTTGAAAGGACTCACTGTGGAAATCTGTTTGACTTCAAACCACTTGAGAATCCCGGGAAAGGTATAGGCAGTTGTATACGTGGTCCGTTCAATCCACATGGTCTGGTGGCAGGAAGGAAAACATGGAATGCTGGTCAGTTCCCAGGCAAAACAGCCAAGCTCCTGGGTTCAGTGAAGTGAGATTCCATTCCCAAATGCCTCCTAAGTGAATGGGCCGCACTTTCTCATAAAATTTAAGGATTCCGGATGTTTAAAGCTGAAAGAGATCATCTACTTGGGACTTCTCACCTTACAGATGGAAGCCTGAGGCCCAGACAGGTGTGACTTGCCCAAGGTCCTATTAGCAGCTGGCCCAGGAGCAGAGCTCAGTTTCTAGACTCCCAATGTAGAGTTTTCTATCGAGATGGTAACTTGCAATCTAGGTAATTTGCAGGGGAAGCCTCTGTTCCCAGGGGTGCCACTGTTTCTGCGGGCATTTGCCAGCGAGGTGGAAGGCCTCCCTTTTGGATGTCCATTCTACCTTGTTTTAGAGGGAAAAAGGGGTGGACTCACAGCAAATTCGTTGTCCGGGTCCTTTTCTCCTTTCCGGAACGGCCGGGAATATCTGAACTGCTGCACTTCATTGGCTCTGTAGTAGCTGGAGCAAGACACGGCAACGAGGCTGTAACTTCTCTCTTCGAATAAGCACTCCCTGATTTGACTTCAGCAAAACCTGGGACATATCTGCCCAGGCTGAGTTCTACCCACTGAGCTGCCTCACAACCAACAGTCTCCACACTGAAGGCTGGAGGCAGTGCATGATTTGATTTTACTTTGCATCTTACTTTCATACAGTTTATGAATGTATTTCGCAGCTCACAACCGTAAAAGGCATATGTACTGACACCCAAATTTGTTACCTCATTTGTACAGTTTTATAAAAATTCTAGCAATCCCATTAACACTTAGCTTCTCAAGAGAAGGGATGAGGCCCTCAGTCACTGGGACCTAATCCTCCAGGGATGTTTCTGAGTGAAAATACTCAGGGATCTAAAAAACTCAGGGATCTGAAACCTATCAGTGAAATTCCTGATTTCCCTCTGCCTAAAAAAACAAACTCCCCCCCACATCCGTTTGAATTATTAAGCTTTTATCTTACACTCAAAATAGACAGGTCTTCCAAACTGTAATGAATTTAAGGCTTGGGTTTTTATGTACTTCTAATAAAGGGTGGGAGAGACACAAAAGAGTTTTTTTGTTTTGTTTTTTAAGAGAAAGGGTCTTGCTCTGTTGCCCAAGTTAGAGTGCAGTGGCATGATCATAGCTCACTGCAGCCTCAAACTCCTGGCCTCAAGTGATCCTCCGGCCTCAGCCTCCCAAGTAGCTGAAACTATAAGCGACTACATCCCTGGCTAATGTTTTTAAAATTTTTTTTGTAGAGATGGGATCTTGCTATGTTGCCCAGGGTGGTCTTGAACTCCTAGCTCAAGCACTGAAGTGATCCGCCCACCTCAGCCTCCCAACATGCTGGGATTACAGGCCTCAGCCTCCCAACGTGCTGGAATTACAGGCGTGAGCCACAGCAACCAGCTATGTTGTTTGTTTTTTTTTTTTTTTTAAATAAAGAACCACTCACTTTAGGATCTGCTCTGGAACCGGTTTATCCTTGTAGCTGGGCGGCAGGTTCATCACGGGCTTCACGGTGAAGCACTGCATGTCTGAGACGCTCGTTAAGGAAAGAAAGGAACCGGGCTACGAGGTGTCAGGCAGCAGGGCCCCCCATTCTTCCCACTTCCCTGCCAGAAATGCCACTGGCACCAATCGCTCCCTTTGACACGAATGCCAGGACTGCATTGAAAATGGGGTTTCCACGTATATCACTGAAATGCCTCGTTCAGGGATTAATCCTAGGACGTTTCTTTTGGTCAGACACCTGGCAAACATCCTCGCCTTAGGGAAACAGGCATGCATGAGATATCAGGAAATAGGTGGTTAGAATTGGTTTTACATAATTTCTTTTGCACAAACATCCCTCTGAATGCCAGAGCCCAGGCAACAGGAACTGCTTTTATCTTTGGATATCGTCCGTTTATCCAGTGCCACAGCCAGGCACTGCACTAGGTGTTTTGAAAATGTATCTCCAATATACACAACAACACTACAAGACCGATATTATTATTTTTCTTTTACAGATGAAGAGTACGAAAACAAAGGGGTTAAAACCCAACATCATACAGTTGGTAAGTGGTGAAGTCAGGCTTTAAAACCAGCTCAGCAGTGAGGGCTCCTCCTCTGATTTAATGATCTCCTCTTAGAAACAGCTCTCCCCATCACCCCCAGTGCAGAGATACACTGTTTCAAAGTCTGTAACAGAATCCAGAATTCAGAACAGGACGTCTATGTTCTAGTCAAGCTCCCTATCTGGCTTCAAAACGTATCCTTTCACGTTAGAGATCTGCTTATCAGCTCTCCCCTTTAATGACTTCGTAACCACCAGCTGAGGATGTATTAGGGTCCCAAATATTTTACATACGATGGGAACCTGCAGCAGAATATCTAAATGGGTGGTCTGTGGACACAGGACACCTCTGTCTGCAAAGAAGGGACTGCAACCCCTGGCTTCTCTGGGTCAGCTGGGGCTGTACCAGGGCGAAGAGCCTCTGGGTCTTTCTTCCCCACCGCAAGGATGCACTGCTTCGGGGACGACTTGATGTCTTCTCCGGGGGGCGTGGTACTGGTCATCTTCTCCGCGTTGGGGAACTGCGTCAGCAGCCTCAGGCTGAAGTCCTCTCGCCTCTCATACTCCTTCCCCCGGTAGATAAAGATTTTATTCTGCAGGTCAGAGGCAGTACGGGAAATCATTAAACAGGAGGAGTGAAGAGGCAACTGGAATTCTAGGTACTGGGGGAGCCACTGTACTCCCCGGCCAAAGTTCAGTCCACCATCGTTGAGCTCTCGTTGAATACCCATTGCAGCAACCATCGAATCTGACCAGCGCTGTGGTTTATTTGCAGAGTTAAAGTCACAGGCATAAAAAATACTCAGCCCAGTGCACCTCATAATGTGGCCCACGGACCGGGGCCAGTCTGCAAACAGTCTGCTTGGAAAAAAGGGGCTTGCACCCTAATTTAAATGCACAACATTACCAGGCATGCTGATATTTGTCACAGCAAGACATTTTCAATGAAAGAAGTGCATGCATTAATTTACATTCAGGTAAAAACTCTTATCTATCTTAGTCGTGATCCAGTAACAGTTTGTAGACCAGCACTTTAAATAGCACTGCTTTCAGATAAGATGATGGTAAGTGTAACACTGTATCACATAGTGATACAGCAACAGCACAGGTGACAGCAGTCCTCAGCCATCCTGAAACCTCATAGAAAATAAGAGCATTAAATACTATTTTCTCAGGCCAGGTGCAGTGGCTCACGCCTGTAATTCCAAAATTTGGGGAGGCCGAGGCAGGAGGATCTCTTGAGCCCAGGAATTCAAGACCAGCTTGGGCAACATGGCGAGACCCTGTCTCTACAAAAAAATATAAAAAAAAATTAGGTGGGCGTGGTGGTGCACACCTGTATTCCTAGCTTCTCAGGAGGCTTAGTTAGGCAGGAGGATCTCTTGAGCCCAATTTTTGTGAAAAGATAGGTTTTTATTTCACTTGGGTAAATGCTCCCTGGCTACAGATGCTTCCAGCACAGGATACCTTTTTTGGATACAGTCTAAATTTCACATTCATAGGTTATTAACATCTCCCCTGTTATCCACGAGGATGGAGACCACATCTGAATGTAATCAACAGGATATTTCCAATGCCTTGTCTGTGCTTGGCACAGAGCAGACATTCAGTAAATATTGACTGAATGAACAAATGAATTGTCTCCTCATTAGGCGCTGTTAAGAACGTAAATTGCTTCCTTTTATCACTTTTTCTTTTTACATTAGGTGAAAGCAGATGGATGATATATGTTTAAGCAAAGCTCAGCTCTAAAAGAGGCTTCCTTTTTGTAAGAGATAAGAGTTTTTGATTTTTAAACCGTAAAATCAGTATCACATTATAGACAATTTTGAGATGGAAGAAAAATACCATCTTCATCACTGGTTAGTGCCCCAAAACTGCTCTTCTTATTTTGGGGAAACTCTTGCAGTCTTGCTCTTGGGATACTTGTTTTCAAACTAGCCCTGGCTGGAAATACAATAAGCAACTAAAAGTCAGTCCTTGCTTTTCCCCAGCCTGACTCTCAGCCACTGGCAAGTGGAGGAATGGTTCTGTTTTTTCCTTTTTCATTCCCCCACCTGGGGAAAGTCATTTCACAAAGACCTGGCAGAACGCCAGGGGTGTTCGGGGGTGTGGGGTGAAGGGGCCGGCCACTCAGGAAGTGGTTTCTCTCCGGGACCTCCCACGGCGAGAAGACGGGTCAGCAGCTGCTAACACACTGTTGCCCATCTGGAAAAGAAATGAGCATCTTCCCTCCTTCACACTGCCCGGCCTAATGGCCTTGGGGACCACCCTCAGGTTCCTTACCCGTAGGAAAGAGGGAAAGCCCTGGCCGTAGTATCCAACAGCAAAGTATTCAGGCTGAGGCCTCATTGCCTTAATGATGTTCTCATAAAACGAGGCTCTTTTTTTCTGGAAAACAAAACAAGACATTCCACTGGGAGGTTACAAGGACACTGCGGGGGGATGGGGGGGAGATCACACTGTTTGTTTTGCTGTTTCCCATGTAACGCAGAGAAGTGAAAGGTCTTTGGGAAACATCATATGCGCGAGAGGGTTCTCCTGTTCTTGGATCAGAGGTTTTGGACCTGGGGTTCATGAATGCGCCTCCGAGGGCCCCGAATCCCCGAGGCTGTGTGCAGAAGCGCCTGCGCACGCTCGTTCTTCTGCACAGGGAGGCAGGGCAGCTTTCGGCAGTTTCTCGAAGCGGGATCAGGACCTCTAAAAGGATAGCTGCTTAAGGAGCCACATGGGAAAAGACAATAAAGAACATTCCAGTTTGTGCAGTGGTTTGGATTAAAGTCTTTGGTTCAGTTGTAAGTGCCCAGAAGGTGGTGGCGGCGTTCTGTTTTTTGGCATCTGGTACCACCTCTATCTTTAATTCTTCACCAGGAGAGTGGCTTCCCAGCTCAGAGAAAGCAAGGTAGGTAGGTAGGTAGGTAGCCAGATCCAAGGGGAATATGGGGCGGTCCCTAACCGCCCCACCACAATGTTTAGCATGCCTATCGCACTACTCTTTCTAGGTGACAGTCTCTGTCAGAGGTTTTCTTAGATGAGTAACATGTTACATTACTAACATCTCAGTGCAATTCTGTTGATAAAATATGTGAATATTTTTGCATGTCATGGCAGGAGCTGGTATAGCACACTGGTACCTTTTTTATTAATACAAGGTGATCTTGACAAATAGCTCCTCAAAATAAATTATTATTCCATAATGTTAGGGAAATTTCCATGCCAGTTCTGCTTAAAACCACAAAGCAGCTAAAGTAGACGCTGACACCTGTCAGTCCTGCAAGCTAAAACCACAAAACAGCTAAGTGAAGCTGCAAACCTATCATAACTGTACTGCATGTAAAAACTATTAATTGGCTAACTTTTAATCCTTTTACCAATTGGTTAACTTTTATACTTGTGTGTTATTGGATAAGACTAACCCCCCCAAAAAGAGTATAAAACCTGACAAAAATCTGGAAGAGGTGCTCAGAATTTGGAGGCTTATCTCTTCTGGGCTGCCGGCAATAAAACTTTCTGACCCTCCAACTCTCTGCGGGCCGCTCGGTTATTCCCCTGGGACCGGTCACTGACGCCTGCCGTAACATTAACAACAGGCGACCTGACCTTTTGTAACTCGTCCACTAAAAATCATCAAATGCAATATTGGGTTTGCCATTTTTGTTTTGCTCTGATGATGGCTGGGAATACGGAAGATCCACAAAAAGACCTTCCAAATGGCACCAGGAAGGAAGGGAGAGCTGCAGACAGGGGTCCCTGAAAGGTGTGCAGAGGACAGCAGCTCCAAGTCACTGATATCTGAGGCTCAGTATCTACCGCCCTTTGGAGGCAACCCTGCCTGCCCCAGAGACTGGAGCCTTCCATGAAGGATAATGTGAAGAAATAACGGTCTAAGCTTTCGGACCACATTCTTTTTCATTTTTATTTCCAGCAAGGTTTACTTTTCCATTGTAAAGAACACCATTTTTCCCGACTTTCTTCAACGTACAAAAACATTTTGGTGAACGCTAATTTTAGCAGCCCCGTTGGAGACCTAACATACTTGAGCCAGACTCACCAGGAGATTGCCAAGACCCTCGTAGTCAAACACTTTGCTCTCGTACGTCTCGGCCAACTCTTTGCTCAGTTTGATTGCCTTCTCCCACATCTTCAGGAAAAGAAAAGTAGGGTTAAAAGTGTAGAACAAAGCAGTCATTGATCCAGCTGCAAAAGCCACGGGAGAGTCACCGGGAATGAGCGGGCAGGTGGGCTGAGTTTCTGCAGATCTTCCCGACTGCTTCATCCCTTGGATCAACGGATGATCCAAGGGATTTCTTTCCTGACATCATAAAGATCGTGAGGGATCTTGGCTGCCTTGCATCTTCAGTGATTCGGTCTGTAAGAACATGAAGGATACCACGTGCGTGTCCCCAGACAAAGGAAGACTGAGTTTAAAGGGCAAAGCGTGGACAACTGAAAGGAGAGAAGAACCATTTCTAAAGCCCAGGTTCTGAGAGCATGGGAGTCTTCCTGGAGGAGGAAGGAAGCTTCTATGGGACTCTGGTTCTGGGGGGTGTGTGTGTGAGCAGGTAGGTTGTTTGTGGGAGGATGGAAAAGACGCTAACAGCACTGTTGCGTGGGATTTGGCGAGCTACGTTTTCATGTCTTTACTTAGTGGATGGGAGTTTTAGGAAATGCCTTAGAGCGTTAACGACCATGTGAGTTATAGGCTAATGTACATATCTGGTGTCTGAGGCCAGCATCCCGGATCGAGCCTTCTAATCCTTTCTGTATTTCATGAAATGCCTCTTAGATGGGTATTATTCAAAACACAGCATCTGCTCACTTCCTGCTTCATTCTTGTGAACAAAGTGCTATATCCCATCCTCTCTGGTTGCTGAAGGAATGTATGCGCAGCCCACAAACAATTGTGAAACGGTCTAAAATTAAATCTCATAAAGGCATCATTTGTCAAATCTGCCCGCTCTGAAGTTGCAGGGCTGGGTCACTGAAGAGGCTCTGAGATGTGCCATCTGGAAACCATTCTAGATCAGCTGGACTTGGCGCAGGAAGCCGGTCACCACCACCAATGAAATCCAGTCACATGGCCTTCCCGAGTCCCCTTTTCTCTTCCCCAAGTGCTAAGTTACATAAGAGACAGGAAGACTGTCTAGCAAAGCGGTTCCCAAAGTGTGGTCTCTGGCTCTTGGAGGTCCCCAAGGCCCTTTCAGGGGGTCGATGAGGTCCAAGCTATCTTCCTAATAATACAATAATACTATTGTCCTTTTTTCACACTCTCTCATGAATATACATGAGGCTCCATGATGTGTAACATCACAATGGAACAGATACAGAAGCAAATCAGAGAGTCCTGCTATCTTTTATTAGCCCAGACATTAAAGAAATTTGCAAAAATAATGCCACTCATATCACTAATTCTTTGATAACTATAGTGATTTTTCATAAATATATGATTCATATTAACAGGTAATAAACAGGTTTATTATTATGGTTAAAAGAACAAGTAAATACTTAAAATTTTTTCTGCTTTAATTTCTAAGAATATAAATATTAACAGATATAACCCACATGAACAAAAGTGTTCCGGGGTCCTCAATAATTTTTAAGAGGGTTAAAGTTTGCAGAGATCAAAAAGTCTGAGCTTCACTTGCCATCTGGGCCTCAAGTTCCTCCCCTGTAAAACAGAGATATTATCTCCTAATAGGGTTACAGGAAGAACTAAATTAGAGGAGACATCTAAAAACCATCCTAAACAGTTTAGCACTAAATAGATAATGGCAATTTTATCTCGATGATTATTTGGCTTATTTACTTATTTAGTAATTTAATTAACAGGTTCCATTGATAGAACAACTGCGGTGGCTGGAAGTGGGCCGTCCACGTGAACCATCCAGGCATCTAAAACGGACTGAATCCAGGATCTGTTTTGTTTGGATACCACAAAACATTTTTCTTTCTTTCTCTCCCGATCCCTTTTCTCTATATATATTTTTCCATTTTTAATTTAAAAGGTTTTTCAGCTGGACATGCCTTCTCCAGTTGACCATGGACTCCACGACACCCTGACACAGTTCCTATGTTTATTTTGCCTTCCTGCCCCTGTGGTTGTCTACAGCCTGTGGTGTCAGGCAGGGGACATGGGTCTGGTGTGCACGTGTTCACCAACGTTATCTCGAGAATGCACAGAAGCTGATGGGCCCAGCAACAATTGAAAGGTAAACTTGTGGTTTTGGAGAATAGGGCTCTGGGCTGCCCATTCTACTCAGTATTGGGGTAAGTCTGCGCCAGATGAATGATCCTTATGGCCCTTCACACCTTAATTTATCGATTCATGTTCTCTCCTATTAAAAAATATCAGAATTCAAAGACACACAAGGGGATGATAAAGAGTACATCACAAGTTATTGTATAAAAAAGAATTTACGTGTCATTGACCTCAATTCTAGGCAGGGAGTTCTGAACCCTTGGAATTTCCCAAGTAATAGGAATATCTTTGCTATTCCTGGTGGGTCCCCAAGACTGCACCCAAATCTATGCTAGCAAGGTGACTCACAGTGGGCTCCTGGATGGTCTCAGGACAGGGGCTGGCTATGCCAGAAATGTTAATACCAACCATGTGATTAGAGGGCTGGGGTTTGAGCCACATGGTATCAGCCTGACCTCCAGGAAAGAAGGGAGGGAGTGGAGATCAAGTGCAATCACTATGAACCAATCAAATATGCCTACACAATGAAACCCCAATAAAAACTCTGCACACTAAGGCTCAGGCGAGCTTCCTGGTTGGAGAACACATCTATTTTCCAGGAAGGTGGTGTGCCCCAAGTTCATGGGCAGAAGACCCAGAAACTCTGTTTTTGGGATCCTCCCAGACCTTGCCCTATATGTCTCTTCATTTGGCTGGTCCTGATCTATGTCCTTTATAATAAAACTGTAATCCCTAAATGTAGTACTTTACTGTGTTCTGTTAGTTGTTCTGGCAAATCATCAAAGCTGAGGGGGTCATGGGAACCTCCAAAATTTATGGGCAGTTGGTCAGAAGTGCAGATGGTCTGGAAAGCCTCCAAACTTATGGTTGGCATCTTCGGTGTGGGACGTCCTGCTGGGGACGGTGCCCTTAACTTGTGTGGTCTGCACTAAGTCCGGATGGTTAGCATCAGAATTGCACTGCAATAGAGCAGCTGTTTTCCTCCTTCCCCTAGTACAAAAACAGCCAGTACTCACTTTGCCTTTGTCAAAATATGAGATAATTTCTTGATACAGCTTCTCTTTAAGCTCTTGCTGGGTATAGACATAGTAACTGTCCCTCTGAAGCAAATGTGGCACACAGGGCTTGTCAGACCACTAAAATCAAACCAAAGCAACAAAACAGGTTAATGCAACAAATCAATTAAAGAGATCAATGCAGCAAATATTCAGCCAAAAAAACCAAAAAAAGTTTGTATGTATATTTGACTCATCCATATCTTATGTTAGATTATTTATTAAGCACAAAAATCACATATACAGACATATACCCAAGCAAGCTCCAAAACAAGTATCATGCCAAACGGACACACACTCATGGCATTCCCAGGTCAGGAATGAAGTGAGGCTGCCAACCAACATGATTATTGTTGTACTGAAGGCATCATTAACACAACCAGATAAAAGAAACAAATTAGGAGTATAAAAATGGATAAGAGAAGGTAAAACTAGCACCATTTGCAAACATTATGGTTGTATTCCTCACAATACAAGGAAGTCAACTGAAAAACTACA